TGTCAGAGAGGCTACATGCTTCCATTTTCCATGTGCATAGTAAAACCCTGAGTACTAGCAGTGGAAAGTGAAGACTCCTTAGTTCACAAGCTTTCTATATAGGAAGTCAATCAAACCAAGCGTTGGGCAGCTGGGCAGCTAAGTCAAAAGTCTTCTCTCTTGCCCAAGACCCATGGCCAAAGATGGACCAGACAATGAGTGTGGCAAAAAGCAAAGAGTAGGAAGGAAAAGAGGCCTGATGATTAGGATGCTCTTGCACAGAAGTGGAATGTGTAGTACTGGAGAAAGACGGTGACATTGAGAACATTCCTCTATTGGTGACCTTGGCACAGATGCCCTCCTCCCTGCTCTATATCTCATGTTATCACCCATCTTCTTTTACTTCTCTCTCAAGATCACTGGCTTATCTGTGAAATATAAAAGCTAATCTAGAACTCTTATTTCTAAAGCATTAATTCACTCAACATTTTCAAAGCATCCTTAAAATACCAGTCCTTGCTCTTAAGGAGTTACTGTTCCAGCAGGAGAGAAAAGGGACAGGCAAGGTCATCCACATCCACATAGTGAGTACTATGTGAAAAGTGTAATCATGTTCCCCTCACGCATGATCCTTAGAAGACTCGTTCCAAATGATACACTGCCTGGAAAAAGGGTTCCAGGGCCAAATGTTTTTAAAATTTGGGGAAATACTGTTACCCCCGGCCATTTTAAAAGACAATACACATTAAAGTACTAAAGGCACTGATGTCTTACAGTAAAAACTTCACTAATGTGAGATAAAAACCCAATGATTCTCAAACTTACTTGACTACTAAAACCTATCAATATCCCATGGCAATAATACTCTATTGAATGTAATTTGCTGAACTCCAACTCGGGTGATCAGGAAAAGGTTTCAAGGAGGAAGCATTCTGAATGGGCCCAAAAGATGCGTAAAGTTTTATCAGGCCCAGACGGAGACAGGATATAGATCCATTCATTTGGCACAAGCTCGCAGAGCACTCCCTCTGAGCAAGGCCAACCCTTGGTGCCACGACGGACAGCTGGTCTTAAGGGCCTGGTTTCTGCTCTGAGGCAGAGTGAAGGGCAGTGGCTCTGAAATGAGAAAAAGCATTTTCTATTTGGGGAACAGCAAGTACGTGGCTAGGGTAAAGCAGATGTGAAAAAGAGAAGAAAGAATAAGGGTGGAGCCAAATAGTGTAGAACTAAGTATGCAAAGAAAAAGGAGCTATCAGATCAGATGTTTACCAGGCCACCTATTCCAAGTCGACAGCACTTGCTTAGGTAGCTATCTTCATTTCTTTCTGCCATGGCTGATAAGAGAATCCCCAGGCCAGCTCTTCCCTTCTTTAGACCTCAGTCTCCTCTTATATAAAATGACCAGACCAGCTAAGTTCTCTAAGGCTCTTTGCAGCATCAACATTTGAGACAGCACATACCAGCCCTTGAGGAGAAGAAGGCTACGAGGACAGGAGAATATCTATTGGTTTGGACACGTGTCAACAGCCTTGCAGAAAAAAACGAACGGGAGAAAAATGAAGCTGGCTCCATCTTCAACTCTTAAGGCTCAGTCCCACTCCACCTGGTATCTTAGGATCATGCTTCTCAAACTAGGAGAATACATGCGGCATACTTTCTAACAGTCAATTTTGCACAAAAAAATTTGAGGAAAGCAAATTCCATTTCTATACTAAAACTGGGACATGCTTTAGACTAGAATGTAATATTCCCAATGTATTTTACAGATTTAGAAAAAATGAGGACTTAAAGAATTATCTGCCTCGTGCCGGCTTTTTGTCTTATGGCTCCAGAATCCCTAGGGTGATCATTCACACTTGGAGGAAAGGCTTGACTGGGAAACCCAGAGCCTTTGATATTTAAGTCTTGTAGAGAGAGAAGCCTACTTATCCAAAATAAAGCTGTAGTAAAGAGAATGGAACTCACCATTGGACTGGTCATCCCCATAGTTCTTATGGGATGGAGCATACAAGAACATCAAAGCAAAGACATACAGGTTCCACATCCCATAGATGCCTGTGAAAAAGGCGCTGTTCACTTGGACTGTGACACCACCCCACTTCCAATGGCCTTCAGTCACCTATGGGGGAAGAAAAAAAACAGCGACACTAAATTGGAGCCAAGAAGAAACACAACACCAACATAGGAACCAACCGACACAAAAATCAAAGCTCTTTTAAATATGAGAAAAGTGAAGGGCCATGTGAGACTCCATTTTTTAATCTGAATCACACTAGTATGGACAAATTAAGGGCTTACTATGTATGTCAGGCACAGAGTCTGGTGCTCCTCACCTTGGCTGCGCATCAGAACCACCTGGGGAATGTCTCTTTCTGAAATAGCAGTATATGGTTATCCCTAATTTAAAGAAATGGTGTTTGAGTCTTGACACTTATCCATAAGTATAATTCCTCCTCTGTTATTTGTCTTCCCAGCTAGTTGTAAACTCCCTGCAGGCAGAAACCAGCTCTGGTTTGTTTACAGCCCTATCTTCAGTGCCTGATGCACGGCGGGGGCTCAGTGAATAAAGGATGATTAAATAAACAAACGAATCCTTAGAGTGAGGAGTTTTCCTTAGTGGGGCAGTGTGGGGAAGCAGAAAGACACAGGCTCCACGCTTACTTCCTGTTCAAAATAAGAGAAGATTAAGACTCTGAACTTTAGTTTCTTTAAGTTTGAAATAAACTTGCAGGTTACTGAGGAGAATTAAATAAAAATATGTCTAGAAATTTCCTGGCATTTATTGAGTAGTGAACACTCAATACATCCTATTTATATCATGTCACTATGTAAGTCACTCACAAAGGTAATTATGAAGATTTGTGTGCTTTACAAGTCTGCAAGAATGTTTTGGGGCTGTTTTTGTCTATGCTAATGACTTGGCAACTATTTTGAGGGCTGCCTGATAACATATGGATTACTCTAAGAACTGTCAATAGAACTGTTGAGCTAAGTGACTAATAACTTGTGCCTGGTCTGAGATCAATGAAATGATTCTGACCAGTTCTGCTTGCTACAGGAAATCCTAGATGGGGATAAAAGAAAGTATTAGACAAATGTTCCTGTGATAGCTTAATGAAGCTGGGTTATATAAACCATCCTTAGGAGCCCCTGCTTCTAGGAGCTAAAGCATAAGATAGCAAGCTATATCTAAATATTAATGACTAACAAACAAGTTGGTTTCACCTTCTGTTTACGAGGCAGTGTGTCTATATTCATTCGGTACCCTCTTTATAATCCATGGTCCACTGGGGCCCCAGGCATAATATAGCTGCAAGTACAAGTATTTCCTTTGGAAAGACCTGGAGTGTCAATCAACCAGGTCGACTGATTATAAACTTGCCAGTTTTAGTGTAACATTGGTGATACATAAGTTTTCATTTTTGTGACTTATAAACAAACTACCACCATGACCTCATATTTATTTTGGAAAATAATTCACTTTATATGACATGCTCAGGAATGTTTTTTGGCAAAGAAAGATTCATAGCCTTTATTGATTTTAGAACAATGCACCAGCATTCAAGCTACTTAGGACTTACTTCTTAGAAATGTCTCCAAATGTCTTTCTTCTTATTTTTAAGTATAGAATATCCTAACTTTATAAAAATCACAATACTTAGAATATACTTAAGATGACTTTTTAATGCATTTAATGGAAAGGGAGAGGAAGCCTTAAGATGGTTCCTGGAAACATATGTACCTGCTGTCATTACAAAGGGAACTTTTTTACATGTGATTAAAGAGGGAGGCCATGCTGGGTGAAGTATAAGACGGAGTAATTCAATTCTTACTCCGCTCTGTTAAGACGGTGGGCCTGTAAAAGACCCTACTTCCTGTGATATAAGCTAGGAATACCTAGTATTGACAATTTTGCTGAA